AGCACCCTGCCTGCTGACCCTCCTGTCTGGGCAGGCTGCAGGGGTGAGGAGGACGAGCTGTCCCCCTCTGACATCTGCCCCCTGGGATCTCGGGCAGGGGCTCTTCGACCTCCCACCCTTTCTGGGATGTCACTTCCAGCCCCCACCCTCCCTGACAGGGAAAATGGCTGGGCAGATGAAAGAGTAGCAGAGAGCGTGAGAAAGGGGCGCCTCCAGCCCCAACCTGCCAACCTCACCAGGCAGCCTGGAGACCAGGAGCAGGCCGGGAGCAGCCTCTGTACTGTTCGTTCTCCTGAGGACCCAGGGATCTGTCCATGTTGGGGCAGGGTTGTGTGGCTTTTTATTTCCAGAAAGGTCTGTGTTTTTCTGGCCAAGTTGGGGTAGGGGCCAGGCTTTATTTCTGTGCACCGGTCCCTCGGGGGTGCGGGACTGTCTCTCCTTGCTGCAAGCTCTGTTCCTTTGAGGGCTGTTCCGAGTATCTGTCATTCTTTAAGGAAGGGGGTTCTGGACTACTGTGCTTGCAAAAGGTTGGGGGGCTGTTTATCCACCCCTGATAAGGGAGTCTCTGTCTATGCCTCTAGGAGCTGTTTTTCTGTCTCTGGTTTCTTGTGGGGCAGGGGGCATCTCTCTATCTATCCTCATGGTATCCCAGCTACCTGGGGCCCTGGGGTGGAGTCCAGGTTTCCTGCATGGCTATGCCAAGGCTGGGTTTCCTGGTTGGAGGCCTCTTCCCACTGATGTTCTCCGGGCTAGGAGCATAGCGACAGTCAGCACCCTGCCCGCCTGGCTTGCAGCTGGGCACTGCTCCCTGCTAACGCAGCATGTACCCGGACAGGCCCCCCCGCACTCCCCTCCTGTCCCAGCTGCCACCCCCAGCCCCTGCGGCCATGCCAGACCTGATTTATGGTCCTGAGTTGGGGCTGGACAGTGCCAGCGCCTGGGTCAGACCTTGAGGAGACCTCAAGTGGCACCCCTGGCCTGGCAGGGTCGGGGCCCAGGAGGAGGCGACGGGGAGCCAGGGTGCTGGGGAGGATGAACAAAGCAGGGGCCCAGGAGTGGCAGGCAGGATGTGGATGCCAAGGCCAAGGCCTCCAGGGGCCCATAGGCTTCCCGCAGGCTCCAAGTCCAGGTGGGGACCTGGAAATGTGCTTCCTGCCCTGAGAAGGTCTCTGGCTTGTGTGGGGAAGGAGATACTGGGAACTGAAAAGGGATTTTCCTCTACTTTGCACTGACTTCTTCCTGTACTCACCATCGGAGGCTGGAGGTTTCAAACTCCCACTGGCCAGCCCAGGCCAAACCCAACAGTTCCCAGCCTGGGGCCCAGGAAGAGGCCTGAGAGCCTGAGGCTGGAGCAAGGATGGAGGCAGAGGTTTGGGGCAGAGACTGCAGCTTGGATCTGAGCACTGGCTTCCCCAGGGAAGACAGAGCAGCTGTCCCCAGAGCTATGAGGCTGCAAGGCTAGGCCCTGGCAGGGCTGGATGCCAGATGGACAGAGGCTCAACCCTTCAACCTCATCCTCTGAGGAGGCCCAGTGGCCCTGGGGCTCTCCTGCAGCCAGGGATTTTGGGAGAGGGGCTGGGACTCGTCCAGATGTCCAAGCTACAGCTCTCTTAGGATTCCAGGCCCAGTTCACACAAGGTCCCCTAGCACTTCCTCAACAGGGCCCGACTCTGACATGTCTGGCACAACTGCCTCATAGCTGCAAGAAGATGTCACTGCTGACTGTCCAGGGACCACACAGCAACCTCTAACAAGTCTCTCTCATGCTGCTCTCTGCAGAAGCAGAACCACCGCCACACAGCTGAGCATGCTGGGTGCTCGGAGCAGGCCGTGTGGACAGGACACCCCATTATATCACGGTCAACCATGACCTTCAAGAGCTTCTCTCCTCCTGGAGGCTGACCCTTACCCCCACCCATAATTGAGACCAGGTGGCTGGAGCCCAGGTGTGGGGCAGCTTCCTCCACACTGGCCCCGGGGAGGGCTACAGGCACAGACCCCCGGGGCACAGAGCTCCCCCTCAGTCCCCAGACCTCAAAGCCACCCCTCCCGAGTCACAGTGGCACCTCAGGGCTGGGGAGGGGGCCAGGGCCTCTGGGCGCTGGGCCCAGCGTGGGTGGGGTGGGGGAGACAGAGAGGCAGGCTTCCTGGGTCTCCGAGTAAGGACAAACAGCAGACTTTGAGGCCTTGGAAAATCCCGCCTGGGATTCCAGGCCCTGCCGGCGTCACTGCCTTTTGACTATTGTCCCCGTCGGAAATGGGCCCAGCCCCCGGCCAGCCTGGACAGAGCAGCCATTGTGAGGCCCCATCAGGCTCAATGCCCCCTTGTTTGCCCTCCTATCCTCTAGCAAGACTTGGAGGCCAGTTCTTCCAGTTGCTGAGTGGAAAGAAAGGGCCTGCCTCTGGGCTCCAACCCTTGGGCGGGGCAGGGTGGGGCAGGGTGGGGCTGGAGGAACCAGCCCCCTCAGCCCATACCCTAATTGCCAGGGTCCGGGAAAGGAACCACCATCAATGGAGCTTCTTATTTTTGAGGCCCGGGGCAGGGAGACCTAGTGGTGAAGTAGCCAGAAGCACCCGGCTAGCTACTTACAAGCCAGGTGACCTTGGGAAAGTCGTATCCTCTCTCTGAAATGAATTCTCCTCCTTTGTTAAAACAATAGCTAATATTTATCGGATGCTTGCTGTGTGCCAGGCACTGTAAGAAACACCTTGTATGCATTCGCTTCTATAATCTTTATAGCAACTTCATAAAATAGATTCATTTTCTCATTTCTAGGTGAAAACACTGAGACACAGCAAGGTGAACTAACTGTCCCAAATCACTGAGCTAATAAGGGCTGGAGCCAAGACGTAAACCCAGCCCGAGGGCTCCAGGGTCCTCGCTTTCACCATTCTCCCATGGTGCCCCTGTGAGGTGCAGATAGCCAGGCTGTCCTCGTGGGATGGCAGTGAGGGCTGGAAATCACAAGTGTCAGATGAAAATAGTCTGCCTGGGTGGACTCTGGTATCCACCTGCTAGCCTCGTCCGTAAATACGGAGATGATCCATTGGTCCCACCCCAGTCCCAGCCCTGGCCGTTCTGTGAGCCCCTGAGCAGCCCTCTTGCCTTCCCCAGCAGCCTGTCCTTTCCCTATGTCTGTCTGTGCTACAGGCAGGGAGCTGGAGGTGAGTCATCCAAAGGAGAAGGACTCGGTCCAGCTGGCCAGCAGATTTCCCAGCAAGCTTTGCTCCTAACCAGTCTCACCTCCCCATTCAACAGATGGGAAACTGAGGCTCGGTGAGGAGGAGGGGCTTCTCAGAGAGTAGCATGGAGGCAGGGCTGCAAACAGAAGCCCACCTACTGACCTCCCTGTGTCGTCAGGTGCAGGTACAGCTGACGAAGGCTCACTCAGGAGTCAGGCGCGGGGGAGGGGTGTGATGCCAGGGATACAGGCTTGGAAGTCCACAGCACTGCTGGGAGCATCAGTCCCAGGGTCGGGGACCTCGTCTGTCTCCCTACTCCAGCCTCACACGGACCCTTCAGCAGGCCTGAGGCTGGGCTGTGCTCCCAGAACCCAAGTGAGGGCAAGTGGATGGGGGCTCCTTGCAAGCTGTGGCCTGGAGCACAGGGGAAAGCCCTTGCTTCCCCTCATCCACAGCCGAGCCCTATTCTATTGGGCCCCATCCAATAGGGGCGGACCCCTCAGCCAGCCAGTTCCCAGGGGCCATGGAGGTGGAGATCAGGAGTCCTGGGCCAAGGGCCATGAGGAACAGCTGTGAGGGCACTGCCTTCAGGGCTCTCACCAGGTCCTAGAGAAGGAAACAGTGAGGCAGGGCAAGCACTGAGCACAGGAAGGGGCCAGGCCCTGCATGGTGACAAACTCCTGTGGGCCTCAGGTTAGGTCCATCTGGGTTTGTGTTTCTCAAAACAGTGGCCCCAGACCACCTGTATCACAAGCCCTGGGGTACTTGCTAAAAGTGTAAGTTCATGGGCCCCCTTGCCTCCCCAAACCTGAGTCTCTAGGGGTAGATCCCAGGAATCTGCATTTCAACCCAGCTGACTAAACTGATGAGCCTGGGGTTGGAGGGCCTACATGGGGACACGGGCACAGGTAGGGACCTCAGTACAATCTTCTTGCCAAGAAGGTGAGGGCCACCAGCTCCCTGGATCCTCTTGCTGGGGTGGCAGGAGGATGGGGATGTTAAAAAACTGAATACAAGGCTGGGCGCAGTGGCTCACACCTGTAATCCCAGCACTTTGGGAGGCTGAGGTGGGCGGATCACTTGAGGTTGGGAGTTTGAGACCAGCCTGACCAACATGGAGAAACCCCGTCTCTACTAAAAATACAAAATTAGCTGAGCATGGTGCTACATGCCTGTAATCCCAGCTACTCAGGAGGCTGAGGCAGAATCACTTGAACCCGGGAGGCAGAGGTTGCAGTAAGCCAAGATCGTGCCACTGCCCTCCAGCCTGGGGAACAAGTACGAAACTCTGTCTAAAAAAAAAAAAAAAAAAAAAAAAAAAAAAAAAGAATACAACAGCTACTTATTACCAATTTGGGCTTACTTCAACCCAGCCCAAGCTAAGCTTTATGCACACAATCCTCTGATCCTGAAAGCTGTGTGAGGCTGGGTCTATTCCTGTTTTATGGATGTGGAAATCAAGAATCAGAGAATAATGTGTCTAGGTTAGGAACTGTGACAACCCTGAGATCTACAGCCAAGGCTATAGGGCCCTACAGTCATCCCTGGGCTAGTCAGTCACTGCAGGCCCCAGCAATGAGCCAGGCACGTCTAGTGGAGGCGTCCCACGTGCTAGAAATTAGTCTAAGCGCTTTGCCTAACAACCTCATGAAGCAGGTGTCATTATTATCCACCTTTTACAAATGAGTACACTGAGGCCTGATAGCTCAGGCTGGTAACATCCAAGTTTCATCTCGAGCAACCCACCTCTTATGTAATGACGGGGTGTGCTTGGTGGGAGAGGGGAAAGGGGGCATCAGAGACAAACTGAATCCCAGTTCCAGCTACATGTCTATTTTTTATTCAATATATTAAATATATTAATCAGAAAAGTCACATACTATAAATCCAGGAAAATACACAAATATAAATGTCAGAATCTGTCATTTGTCTTCTTTCTAGAGTGACAGTTTATGTACATGTGGAAGGAGGGTAGGAGGACGGAGCCAGCAGGAGGCTGGAAAGGCTGCCCAGGCCGGTGGGGCCCGTCCCTACCTCCTCACCCCACTCCCACCTCAAGCTCTTTCTTCCTGTATTTACAGCAGCACTGGGCTTATTTACAGCATGGCAGTATGTGTTAAAAACGGTTTATCTTACAAAAAACATAAAGGCCAGGGCCAGGCTGCAGGGTAAGACAAATCGTGGGGTCACCCCCATGAATGCATCCCCCTCCCCGAGGGCTTGAGCTCCCTGCAAACCTCCTGGAGCAGGTGATAAGGGGGATTCATTCTGCAGCTCAAGCCCAGGCTTGGGAGTGCTCTGGGGGTCCGTGGACTAAAGGCACGTGGGTGGCATATGAGAGTGCACATGTGCACGTGTGTTCCCAGACGGGGGTCAGAAGGGCAGCGTGTCCATGAAGATCTTGTCGATGATAGGCGGAGGGGGCACCAAGTCCTCCAGCTTGAGGTAGAAGATGCGCTGCAGGCCCTGGGTGCACAGGGTCCGCAGCTCGGGCAGTTTGCCCAGCAGACGTGACAGGCAGCTGGCTGGCTGGGGTTCACCTGCCACAGCCGCCACGTGCTCCTTCAGGCAGCTGGCGATGCGGTTCTGCAGCTCCTCCACCCGCCGTGGCTCCTGCAGCCCATGCCGGTCTGCGGGGAGGGTACAGAATTAGCCCCACATCTGAGAACCAGGCCCCAAAGCCCAGCCTCTCCTAGGCCCCTAAAACTGCTGCTCCGGGCCAACCCTCATGCTCTGCTGGCACTTCACAAAAGCACGTTCACAGGTTGCCATTTGTAAGCATCATCAGAAGTCTGAGAACCAGTAACCCTCATGATTCTCATGCTCCAAGTGAGAACCTGAGGCCCAGGAGGTTAGTGACTTGCCCAAGGTCTCAAACAGGAAATAAAATCCTAACCTAGGTTTTCTGGCTAGACCATTAGGTTTTTAAAATCTAGACTGTTCTGAGAAGCCCCAGCCTCAGAATTCAGCACTCCCTCAGCCCAGAGTACCTCTGATTGTGTTCTATATAGTTGAGTCCCCTGTGCATTTTAAGTGAAAAAAAGGAATGAGGGTGGATTCTTTGCTTTAAAAAACAAAGAGAGGTGGCCGGGCACAGTGGCTCACGCCTGTAATCCCAGCACTTTGGGAAGCCGAGGTGGGTAGATCATGAGGTTAAGAGACTGAGACTATCCTGGTCAACACGGTGAAACCCCGTCTCTACTAAAAATACAAAAATTAGCAGGGCATGGTGGTGCCCAGCTGTAGTCCCAGCTACTTGGGAGGCTGAGGCAGGAGAATTGCTTGAACCCAGGAGGCGGAGGTCATAGTGATCCACGATCACGCCACTGCCCTCACTGCACTCCTGACTGGCAACAGAGTGAGACTCTGTCTCAGAAAAAAAAAACAAAGACCTGAAAACCTCTGCATTCAGATTCCATCCTGCAGAACTACATTTACATAAAGTCCAAAACAGGCACAGCCAATCTGATCTGCACTGTCAGAAGTCATGATGAAGGGCCGGGCGCAGTGGCTCAAGCCTGTAATCCCAGCACTTTAGGAGGCTGAGGCAGGAGGAACTCTTGAGCCCAGGAGTTCGAGACCAGCCTGGACAACATAGTGAGATCTCATCTTATATATTTTTTTATTTTTTTAAATAAAAAATAGAAACCAGAGTAATGGTTACCCTTGGGGAGGGCAAATGACTAGAAGGGGGTACAATAATGGGTTCTGGAGGACAGTTAGGTGCTCTTTCTTGACCAGGGTGCTGGTTAGGTAAGTGCGGTTTATGAAAACTTACCATCCGTGTACTTTTCTATATGCAGCGTGATCGACAGGAAGGTTTTAAAAACAAACCAACACCCTAGGCCACATACATGACACCTGCCGTGTATATCCCAGGCAGTCTGGGGCTAATGGCTGTGTTAAGCTTTAGAGCTGGAAGCAGCTGAGCCTGTCTCCAGCTCCTGTGGTCCCTACTTTACTGTCAGTATGAGCCCAGGGCAGTGCAGGGGCCAGAAAATGCTAGATCCCAGACCACCAAACTCCCTGAGACAGTGCCCACCTGAGGACAAGTCAACTCCCTGACACCCACTCCCTTGGACCTGGTGTGGTGCTGGACACTCACCAGTGATGAGGACAAGAGCAGACAGGCAGGCGAAGGCAGGGACATCGACAACCAAGCTGTGCAGGGACCTTGAGAAGGCCAGGATGCTGTCAATCCAGTCGCCGAAGCCACGGGCACACTGCAGCCGGTGCAGCACCAGGCCTGAGCAGAAAATGAGCTTGCCCTCGCCTGGCTTAGACCTGGGAGGCAGATGGGTTGAAAGGCAATCAGGGTGGCTCACAGGCAGGTGTATGAGGGAAAGGGGCTGGGCAGTCAGTGGGCAGCTCACCGGTATGCCAGGCGGAGGATGAAGAGCTCCAGGAAGGCCGACTCCAGCAACAGGTCCTGGTCAGCCGGTGACAGCTCCGCAAAGCCAGGGATCTTCTCTGCCCACTTGCGGATGACCTCCAGGGAACCGGAAAGCAGGTCGTAGAACTGCTGCACATCCCCTGCATCTTCCTTCCCAAAGTGGGGCAGCACCAGCTCCTGGAACTAGGAGGATGGTCCAGTCAGCACCCCAGGCAGGGCCCTGCACCCACCGCCACATATGGCTGTGTCAGACACTTGGATGCCAGATCCCAGGAGTGGTAGTGGCCCTGAGACCCACCCCAGGCTCTCACTTGCCAAGTCTCACATATTAACCCAGAGCTGCAGCTGCCAGAAGGACACATTTTTCTAATTGGCCACCTGCCTGAGGGGATGCATTTTCCCACCTGGTCATCCCAGAGGGGGCTCCTCTCTTTGAGCTGTTGAACTGGAGGGGGTAGCTTTTCTTTCTTTCCTTTTTAAACTTCCTTTCTCATTCAGTCCTTCCAGAGGGGTAGCTCTAACATGCACATCGGCATCGCATGTGCTCACACCGGCTCTCCTCAAGGCAGGCGAGGGATGGGGCAGGCGGGGCCTCACCTTGGAGTAGTCCAGTTTGGCAGTGCTGGGCCCTGAGTCCAGGTGTGCACGGACCAGGGAGGTGAGGAGATTGGCAGGAGAAGCATCCGGGGGCTGCTTGGGTTTTGAAGGTAGCCGGCCCCTCCGCCCCTTCAGGCTGTCTGTTCGGACAACTGCAAAGGAATGCGTAAGGGTGAAGAAGGAGGGGATCTAAGGAAGGGCCTCTCATCCCAAGCCGTGCATACCACTGCTGAGATGCAGCCCACTGAGTCCCTAGGACTCAGAGCCCCTGAGATCCGAGGGACCCTACAGGGACCCCCTCCCAGCCACCACCCTCAAGATCCAGGCAGGTGGAAGCTGCCACCCTCTAAGGCCTGGGGTTCAGAGCGGGGATGGAAATAAAATGTGTCCTCCCCTGGGTCATCCAGGGCAGAAGCTGAGGGCCCTGCGGTCCCACCCCACTCAAGCCTATCCTCACCCTGCTGGGCCGCACCCCAGCCACACACCTTCCTTCACCATGCCCACAGCCAGGCACTTCTGGAAGCGGCAGAACTGGCAGCGGTTTCGCCGCCTCTTGTCCACAGGGCAGTCCTTGTTGGCCAGGCAGATGTACTTGGCGTTTTTCTGCACTGTGCGCTGGGTGGGGGGGCAACACGGAACACGCTGTCAGAGTGCGGGGTGGGGAGGGGGGAGCCGAGGGGAGGGGACTGTCCAGATCCTGCTGCCATTGCAGACAAAAGCACTCTCTGTTCACAGCTATTTTTCTAACATTTGGGTGGCAAGGGAGGGAGAGATAGGGGGTTGAGGGGAGAGAAAAGTCTTGAAGACACTAGAGGAGGTTTCTCCCCAGAGGAAGATCCCAAGACACAATATTGGGGGCCAGAGTCTCTCCAGCAATCCAAACAGCTATATTTTTTCATGGGCGCTTGTCCACCTGCCCTATCCCTGGGGCAGACAGGAGAGGGCCAAGGGGCTGGGGGTGGGGACGGGAAGCTAAGCAGGCACCAGCGCTGGGACAAACACACAGCCTGTTCCCAAGTCCACCCCCAGCCCTCAAGAACCAAACCCTCTGCCGGGATCCTTTCATCTCACGCCAGGAACACGAGAGCCTGGGAGCACCCCTTCCCACTAGAACCTTGAGTTAGGGGAGGACAGGCAGAGGAAAACCAGAGGCTGGCCAGGCACCCCTCCAGCCCATATCTCACAGCTCACTCCAGCTCTCTGCAACCCCATGGGCCCGAGTGTCCTGGTGAATGAAAGCTTCCAGCCCTGGCATTATGGGTCTCCAGGAAGGCAGCCCACCTGGCAGGCCTGAGCCCATCCTACAGGACAGGACTTGGCTGGGAGGAGAACCCAGGGGTCTACCACAGGTCCCAATGGGATGAGAGGCTAGCCTCTCTCCATTTCCTGTAAAAAGCCCCGCCCAGGGCCGCGCAGTACCTTGAAGAAGCCCTTGCAGCCCTCGCAGGTGCGGACACCATAATGCTGGCACGAGGCGTTGTCCCCACACACAGCGCAGCGGCCTTCACTTCCACCTGGGGCCCCGCTCCGGGCTTTGGCTGAAGTCATGGGTGCATCCAGTATCCCCGAGCTCTCAAGGTGTGGGGAAGTGGGTGCCAAGCATGGGAAGGCCGTCGGCACAGAATAGCTCTCTCCCTCCCCCAGATGGTGGGCAGCCTGTGAAGGGAACAACTTCAGGGGGCTCTGGGCCAGGCTGGGGCTGGGACCGGTGGGAGGGCTGAAGGAAAAGAAGGCTGGAGGCTGTAGGGGCCCAGAGGCTTTGGGCAGCTGCTCTGTCCATGCCCGCAAGCCTTCGTAAGTCTGGCTGGGTGAGAAGTGGCCGAATGAGCCATCCCAGGGAGAGAGCTGGGGCGGCTGGAAGCTGGGCGTGGATGGTGACGGGGCTGAGCAGGGGCTGCCATAGTAGTCAGAGCCGCTGGAGGACAGGGCCTCATCCACTGGGCCGCTCAGGGGGCCAGGGTAGCAGCCGTACACCTGGAAGTCCTCGAACTTGAAGGAGGCAGAGGCAGGGGAGGTGGCTGAGGACGAGGATGTGGAGGAGGCCGAGGAAGAGGCTGAGGAGCATGGCTGGACTGTTCCCGGCAGCTGGTAGAGGAAGGTGTCAAACTCTCCTGTGTAGCCGTCCATGAAGGTGCTGAAGCTGGGCAGGGCAGTGGGGGCAGCGGGAGCCGCCTCAGGGCTGGCAAGGTCCATGGTGGGCTTGATGAACTCAGGGGTCACGGGGTCACTTGCCAGGTGGTCACGGGGTCCTGGACTCGGTGCTGGTGTTCCATATTGGGCTTGGATACAGGGCATCTCTGGAGAGGGAAAACCCCAAGGAGAGCAAGGAGAGTCAGTGGGAGAAGCCTACAGCCTGGTCTCAAAGTATTTGGGCCCCAGAGCAGCAAGGTGGCAAGAATCCTAGCCTACAGATGGGACAGAGGCGGCAGGACCACAGCCCACCACAGCACCCAGGAATCCTGACCCTTGGCCTGAGTACCATCTTGACTTATGTGCCACAATGTCCCTGGGCAGCGGCCAGCATAAGTGGGCTCCATCAGAAGGCCAGCCACACCCTAGTCAGCCTCGGAACCCTTGGGTAGGCATCTAGCCAGCATTTCTCTGCTGGAACAGGGGGAAGCTGTGTTCCTCCAGCCCCCTGCCCCTCCCCCACTGGGGGAGGCATGGTGGGGACAGGGAGAAGGGTGAGTGGGAGAGACAGCCCAGGAAAGCCTCAGCCCAGCTCTCAGGAGCAGCTCCCTGCTTGTTTCACCAACCAGGCACTTCCTGGGAATACTCCCAGGCACACCCTAGTCTTTTTCTCTTCCCCTCATGGTGCCTAGGAAGAAGAACATTGTGGAAATGCGAGAGGAGCTGGGAGTGGAAAGCCCAGCTGCCTGAGAAGGCAGCCTAATGCAGAGGCCCTAGCCTGTCCCCCACCTCCACCCCAAACCCCCATATTGAGCAAAGGCAGCAAATCCCAAACCCACCCCAGTCCTGCCATCTGGGGCTGGGAAGCCACTCTGCACTGCCCAAGATGCTCCCAGAAGCAAAGAGAAAGGGAGCCTAGGCCTCCTCATCAGTAACCTGGCTCCAGACCTTTAAGGGCCATTTGCTGGGAACAGGGTAAGGGGGAGGAAGGAGACCACAGCCCCCTGGACTTCCAGGAGAATAGACGACAGTACCTAAGAAGAATGTTCTGCTACTCCCAGTTATTTTAATAAGAGAATTCTCAGAGTCCAGCAGCAGCAGAAGACTTAAGGAGGCTATGCAGGAAGGAGAAGCCTGTTGGTGGGTGGGTGGAAGACATTCTGTCCCTGCCTGGGTCCCTCCACTAAAGCAGGGTCTGTGCCCTAAATAATCCAAGGGCTAAGACAAAGGGGGTCCTGAGGAGCCTGAAGAGCGCCTGAACAGAGATAGCGCCATTCAGACAGATCCTTACATTCACAGAATGGTCAAAAACTAATGCAGACGAGGCTCCAGGACAATCTCCCTCCCTACCTCCATGCCCTGGGTCTGCGTAACTCTGGCATCACCAGTCAAGGAGAGAAGCTAGAGAAGAAATCAAGCTGGAACAGTGAGTACCATAATCAAGGAGTACAGTGATGGGGGCAAAGGCTGTCACCACCTCCTGGCCAAGAGCCCAGGAAGTCCTCTCTGGTCCTAGGCTTTCTTCTAACTCAACGGGCCCTGAGCAGGGCATCTCCACCCCTAGCCTGACATTCACATAACCAACAAAGACAACAGAGACCCTCGTAGCTCAGGCCCCACCCACCCAGTGGCACCCATCCACAGGCATGCAGCACCCTGTGAGGTGAGGGTGGCCACATCTGCCTGTACTAAGACAGTCTGGGCAGGGATGGGCTGGGAGTGAAGGAGGAAAGACAGCAGTTGGGCAGAACTGGGCGTTCGTTCCTGCCTTATTCAAATCCTGTTTCTCCACCTGGACGTCCCATATCCGGATCAACCCCCATCAATCCCTCCCCCTTCATGCAAGTTCTTAACAACACAAGATATGGACCTACATCTAGCCTCTTGGGAGGAGGGAGCAGTCCCACAGGAGGAGGAAGAGGCGGGGTTGAAGGAGGGAGTGGGGAGAATCCGGCTTCAGGCAGGTCCTGGCAACAATGTGGCTTGCACCTGTTCTGCTGAACAAGCCTCAGGCTGCACCCTACCTGTAAGATCCAACAGGGACTACTGGGGGAGGGGGCAGAGGGGTGATCAGCATCTGGAACTGGAATGGTTGGGAGGTATCCTCTAGGTAGCTCCGCCCCAAGACTCCAACTTTGACAACTTCTATCCAGGATCCCCAAGGACAAGGGTTTCCACCTCTGTCTCTGTCTCTCTGTCTGTCTGTCTCTCTCTCTTTCTCTCACACACACACACACACACACACACACACACACACACACACACACACGATCCAAGCCCCAGCAAAATCAATCCGCCCAGTGCTTCCAGACACCCTGCCCCTGACCCCAAGAAGCCTCCTTTATTGAACACACAGCAAGCAGCCCTCCACAGCTCAGCCACCAAGCCAGTCACTTCCTTCAATGATCCAGGGGCTTCCTAATGCAGCTCAAACAGAAAGCTCAGGGTGGGGAACCCCTGCCAAATCAACCACAGCCTCTAAAGTGTTAAGAAAACAACCGGGGCGCCTGGAGAGGGCTGACAGACTGGGAGGAAGGAGAGCCTTCTGGAAATCCAATCCCTGTTGGAGTCGTATGGATCCCAGCAGAGCCAAAGCCCCGTGTACCTTTTCCCCCACAGTACTGCGACCCCCCCCATCCACATCCACCCAAGTTCAGAGCACCATGCGCCCACTTGGGCACCCTGGGAGACTGAACTAAGGCCAGCCGCCGGCTTGACAAGCCCCTACTCTTGCCGCCAACCCCAACCCCCTGCAGCTTCCACCTTGCAGGTAGTCAACCTCCCTCACCTCCTACCCCGCAGCCAGTAGTTCCAGTCGGACCTGGGTTCTCATCCCGTTGCGCCAGAGCTGCACATTACACCCGCCCTCCTGCATGCTGACCCTACAACATCCTTTCTGCCCGCGCGTACACTCCTCTCCTTCATGCACCACCCCCAAAAACAGATGCACGCCCCCCAAAAGGAACCTACCCGGCCGGCTCCTGCTGCCCCTGCCCGGACCGGCGCCCCAAGTCACAGCCTGGTCCCTGGTCCCGCGTGCGCTCCCAAAGTTCTTCCGTGCACTCCCCCAAGTTTCGCAGCCTCTGCTACTGGGACTCCCCGGGCGAGCCCGACCCTCCTCTTAAGCGCTCCGTGACGCACGGGGAGGGGCGGGGGCGCCACTGACGCAGGCCGCCCGGCGAGCTTTGGCCATACAAGGGCGCGGGGGGCGGTGCGGTTCCGGCGGGAGGCGGCCAGGGGGAGGCGCGGCCCGGGGAGCCCGAGGGGGCGGGGCGAGGAGGGGGGCCTGGAATGTCTGCGCGCGTGACGCACGCGGGGTTCCATTGACGCAGGGAGCGCGGATTGTTTGATCTATAAATAGGCTCCTAGCGCCCGCCGAGTCCGCTAAAAATAGCAGCTCCCAGGCCCACTAGGCTCCCCACACCGGACCCGGGTCCCAGCTGGGGGCCCCCAAGTCCAAAATAACCGGCGGGAAGGGCAGAGCCAATGAAGGGGCGCTGTAGAGCCGCGACCGCTGGGCTTCCCCGGACTAGGATCTCCTCACCCTCCAGCTGCTCCCGGCAGCCAACCGCGCCCAGTCCCTCCGGCTCCCTCTGAGCCCAGCCCCGCCTTTGCACCTTCCCAAGCCCTTCCTAGAGCCTAGGGTGACGCCGCGCCGCTGCTGGGCGGTCAAGGCAGGTCGTGGGCTGGGGCGGGCAACTCGGACACACCCTGGGGAGCCTGCGCCCTCACCTCAGCCTTAGGTGCAGCTGGTGCACAGGACGCGGCCTCCCCACCAGGGTCTCAGGCTGAGAGGGTGCCCCCGAGGCGTCAGTTAGAGCCGCCACTTAGTCCCTCCTGGCAGTCTCCCTGCACAGGACCTTCTGACGGTAGGGGTTGGCCAGGCCCAAGCTCGGGCAACTGCTCCGGCTCCGCTCCACAAGCTGAACTTGGCTTCGCACCTTCCCCTCTCCAGCCCCTTACAGGGTGAATGCACCCTAGTTGGGAAATTACCGAATTTCAGAACTGGGGCGGGGAGGGGGGGGGAGCCTGAGAAATCTTTTCAAACTTGTGCCAACTCTTCCCCATTTTATAAATAAATAGGCCCAGAGAAATAATGGCACTTGCTCAAGGTCACACAGCCAGGTGGTGGCAATCAAGGAGCACCGACCCTCCCACCCTACCTCTAGCATCCGTGGGGAGGCAACACCAGCCAGTTATCACCTGCCCAGTGGAATGCGGAACAGCCCACCAGGACCCTGCTAGGCACAGACCAGGCTGCAGCAGCCACCTGGAGCCTTCCCCGACTGGGCCGTCACTCCTCCACACTGATCTCTTCCTGAGCCTGGGGAGCCCTCACGGCAAGGTAAGAGAAGGAAAAAAGGCAAATCGTGACAAAGAAAAGGGACCCCTGCCACCCCACTGCAACCCCCAACCATTCCCCTTCTCCCATGTAAGTCAATGTCCAGAAGAGTTTCTGCTTCCACTGAGCCTGCACCCACCCACCCAGCTCTCACCTCATCTGGTCACCCCATAGGACTTCCTCTACCTTGGAGGCGGTGCCTGCTGCTGATTTCCACCCTCAACTCCCATCACAGGTTTCCCACACCCTTGTCTCCAGCCCCCGCTTCTGCCCACTCAAAGGACCCACAAGCAACTCAAATTTAATCTGTTCCAGGCAGAGCTTGTCATTTCTGCAACCCCTGCCTGCCACCTAATCTCTGCTCCTGATGCCCCATTTGCAACTTTTCACTGTTTCCTGAAATTCTTTTTTGGAGCATCTCTTGGGTCCTTTCCTCTCCCCATTTGTTTTCTTGTTTTTGAGACAAGATCTTGTTCTGTCACCCAGCCTGGAGTGTAGTGGTGCGGTTATGCTTACTGCAGCCTCGACCTCCTAGCCTCAAGCCTCTTGCCTTGACCTCCCAAAGTGCTGGGATTACAGGCAAGAGCCACTGCACCCAGCATCTCCCGCTTTCCTACTGCCAGCCATAGCCCATGCCTCCCTGGTCCTACAGACCAACTGCCTGCACCCAATGACCACTCCTTCTCCTTGTCCACACCCATGAAGATCAACCCTTAGCCTGCCCGTCTCCTCCTTCTAAAGCCCCACTGTCCACCACAGATGAAGTAGTCTTCATGTACAGTTGACCCTTGAACAACACAGGTTTGAACAGTGTGGGTCCACTTATATGAGGACTGCTTGCAATCCAACATGGATTGAAAAACCCACATATACAGAGGGCCCATTTTTGTGCATCTGCAGATTCCACAGGGCCAACAGCGGGACTTGAGTATTCGCAGTATAAACTGGGGTCCTGGAGCCAACCACCTTCATATACGGAGGGGTGACTGTAATGCTGATGGCATTCAGTGATCTGGTCAGAACCTGCCAGAACCCTCCAACCCAGCATACAATCTCAATGTGAATGCATCTGCAGAGAGCGCTAGGTTGCCCCAAACCATCTCCCAAAGACCTTCAAGGCCACCTAGTTGAATGTGAAGTGTGGGCAGGTTGCTGCCAATTGGACCCATCCAGGATCTCTACCTCAATTCAGCCAAAGTTTTGTTTTGCTTTCTCTTAGGATTTTCTATAAGAGTCTGCTTGGATTTTGTGGAATCTTTTTGTGGCAAATGACTCCACAGCTTAAAAAAAAAAAAAAAAAGGTTTAAAAACACAAATAGAATTCAAGTCCTCCCATTTTGCATATTGGGAGCCAAAGTTTCCAAGAGGAGCTACACCTTGCTCAGGAGCACACAGCAAGACTTGCTGGGTGGAACTGGTCCTGGCTGTGTCACAGGCTGGCTTTCTCACCTAGCACCTGCTTTGCCCCAGGATGTCTCCCTCCACCCCAGCTGGGCCTTCCCTAGAAAGTAAAACGAATTTTAATAGGTAGCAAAAGATGATCAGCCAAGCCAATGTTCTTCCCACCAACCAGCAAGAACAGGTGCATTATCTGTGGCTTAACCAGCCTGTGCTCAATCTCAGCCTTGCTAGCTCTTTGAGAGCTGAACCAGCCTCAAGCTCAGGCACCCTCCTCTCCTCACAACTTGGCATTTGTAAAAAGTGACACAGACCATCCTGTGGGGGTAGGCCCACCCATAAGCCCAAGGGAAACCGAGTGTGGTGAGGTGCTGCCCAGGACCCTGGTCTGAATCTCAGCATCTAGCCTCCAGATCTGGGCCTGCAGCCCAGGCCCCACCTCCCCAAGCCACTGCAGGTTATGGAGGCTGCAGTCCTGCCTCCCTAAAGCCTGGAGGAGGATAAGGAACTACAGCTGCCACCTGGCCATGCTTGCAGGGGATGGTGAGGGTGCTCAACATACCACATTCTGAAAATAAGTAAATAAGGAGAAAAAGGCAAAGGTCCTCTGTAGGAACACAGCTGGGGCCACCCATGCAGGTTTCCACGTGGAGCACTTAGAGGCGAGAGAGGTGAAAGGGGTTTGGGGATCCCAGGCCTCGTGGGCCCTCCAGGGAGGACGGCCTGATGCTCTGAGAGAGTGGAGTCCAGCTAGCGGAGCTCTGGAGAAAGGCACAATTGATGTGGACTTTGGGAGGCCTAAAGCAAATGCTGGTCCCACAATGGCCAAAGACTCCCAATGGACACCTACCTCCCCCCCACCAAGTCTAGCCTTCAAGAACAAGGTCAGAGTAAATAGCTTATTGTCACGGAGACGGGGTAGGAGGGAACAGGTAATGAGAGAGGTATCCAAAACTAGAGACAGGGATCTGAAGGTAGGGCAGGGAGAGAAGATGTCAGGCTGGAGGCAAGAGACAGCCCCGCCCAGTCAGGCCCCCACACCCTGGCCCAGCCTACTCTTCTGCCCTCATCACCCCAGTTCCCCACCAACCCATATAAGGACCTTGAGCTGAACTTTCCCGCCACCCACTTTGTACATACAGTTTCACCCACTGGGCACACTGTTTCCCTTCTTCCTTCTATTCTAATCCTGCTGATCCTCCAAGACTTCAGCTTAGAGCCTGTACCAGCCCATCTCTGTTTTTTTTTCCCCTCTTTTTCTTTTCTTTTCTTTTTTTTTAAATTTCTAAGTCATTACATCCAACCAACTCATTGATAATAAGCTCCTTCTCACAGGGAGTGGGTCAGACCTTGGCCAGGGCACTTCACAGGGATTCTTCCATTTAACACTTGCCCAGCCCTTCCAGGTTTGGAATTACAATCTGCGTTGTACAAAGGCGGAAGCAGAGGCTCAAGGATAGGATTGAAACTTAGGTCCCCTAAATCCCAGTTTTCTGCAGGACCCACTACCCTGAACTCTAACCTCCAGAGGCTGTGGCTTCTGGCCCCATGGGTCTTGAGTCTTATAAGTGAACCACAAAACCAGGCACACACACAACCTCTAAGCTGAAAATAGAGGTATCTACAATGGGGCTTCTGTGGAAATGGAAGCATTCTAGTTCCCCATCTGGACAATAATCACCCAAGCATGTTCACTCTGGAAAAGTCATCAAACTGTACTCTTAAGATTGTACTCCAATCTTAAGATTTCAGTGGCTCACGCCTGAAATCCCAGCACTTTGGGAGGCTGAGGAGGGAGGACTGCTTTGAGCCCAGGAGTTTGAAATTAGCGTGAGCAACATAGTGAGACGCCTTCTCTACAAGAAAATTTTTAAAATTAGCCAGGTGTGGCCGGTGCGTGCCTGTAATCCCAGCTACTCAGGAGGCTGAGGTGGGAGGATTGCTTGAACCCAGGAGGCAGAAGCTGCAATGAGCCATAATCGAGCCACTGCCCTCCAGCCTGGGTAACAAAGTGAGAACCTGTCTCAAAAAATAATAATAAGATTGTACACCTATGATGTGTGCACTTTTCTGTATGTATGTTATACTCTCCCCAAAGTTTATTTTAAAATAGCCACGCCTGAATGAGAGAGACATATTTCTTCATATAGATGCAGATGCAGCTGGAATTTATTGAGAACAAATTCATTCAAGTGTGAGCTTCTGAAAGCATGGTGGCTGTTTCTCGTTATGTATTTGTTCTATCAACAGATAGAAAACAAGTACGGTTAGGAGGGGATGCACCATCATCTCTCATTGGAAAGGGGCCCTCCTGCTGATAACACAGTGTATTTTCTGAGCAGTTCACCAGGCCCTTACACCTCCTAGTCAAACCTTATGGGGCCCAGGGACTTACCGTGTACTCAGACCCATTCCTCGCCCACCAGTATGTGAACACCATGAGGAAAAGGACACTGCCTCCTACCCCCTGGTAGGAAGACCCTTTGTACCTTATCAGCAGTAAGTAGCTCAGGGCAGGACCCAAATGAGCAGCCAATGTCTACCACCATTCCCCAGCCCAGAGGGTGGGGGTGGAGATGGGTAAACAGAAGGAAGTGGAATTACACAGTCCCTTTCCCACGCTGGCCCTCCACCTTGGGTTGGGCCCCGCCCCTACTAAGCAGAGGTCAGGAACTTGCCCTACTTTCACTGAGACTGTCCCCACCCACGGGCCTCCACGCCCTTCCCCTGGGGTGGGCAGAAGGAGTAAGCTTCGCCTGCCTTCTGCCGCTCAGAAGTTGCCCTGGGAGCTTCCCCTCCTTGACCCCAGGGCCTACTGCCAGCCCTGACCTGGCCACTTCCTCTTCCTGCTCTGGCAGTGGGCAGGGGGATTTGTACTGTGGGCAGGGAAGCACTGCCTGCTGCCCCGGGGGCTTCCCATGGGCAGCTAGCTCTGGGAACCAGGGGTGAAGGGTCAGGCCCAGGTCCCTGGCTCTGCTCTCCTGGCCCTTGCCCAAGCCCTACCATGAGCACACGTATCATTACCTCCCCAAAATCAGGCTCCCAGGGACGCAGTCAGGTCAACCAGTGCCCCCACTCCTCCCCTTAGCTCTCAGCAGGGGCGAAAGACGGAAGAGCTATCAGAGGCATCTTTGACCAGGAGCTAGCAAGCCTGATATGTGACCTGAGGCCAGTCCCTTGTCCTCTCCAAGCTTCCTCATCTGCCTAATGCAGACATCACCAGTCCCAGTGCTGGGAGAATTCAGTTCACCACGGAAGGGAGAAGCTCAGAATCCAAATGTAGCACTGTCTGGGGCCTGGGCTCCCCCACTGTCAGGGGAAACCTGTGATGGGAAGGGAGGGTGGAAGTCAGGAAGCAGGCAGTACCTCCAGGGCACGGGGAAGTGCTATAGGGGGATGGGTTCCAGGACCCCATATACCAAAATCCACGCATACCCGGCTCACACTCGGCCCTGTGGAACTCATGTCTGCAATGGGACAACCACAGCAGCCTACAGCAGAATCCTGGGGCTGGCAGGGAGGGTGGCAGGGACAGGAGACAGCAGAGTCCTCAGCTGGACAAGGGAGCCAGCAGCCCTCCTGCTCCAGGAACTACAGACAAACAGTAACCCCATCTGTCTCTCTCCTGCTCTCGGGCTAAGTTGAGAGGAAGCGAGAGTGCGCCCAGAGATGTGGCTCTACCCAGCACGCCTTGTAGTGGGAAGAATTCTGGGAGAATTCCTGATTGTGTATGCAGCAAGTGCTCAATTAATACTCTGGAGAGAGCTAGTTAGTTAAGGAGGTCAGACTATGACCACAGAGGCTATCTTTAGTCCAATGATTTCGCTACCCGTACCTCCCTCCCTCTCAGACCAGAAGAAATTAACATCCAGCACAAAAGAGTAAGATCAGACTTCAGGAAGAACAGCCAGAGGGGCTGGAAAACGCAGACAAGATCACGGAGTTTGGGAAAGGTCAGCCCCTGCCTTGAACCTCCCTTGGTTTCCCCCTCAGTCTTTTCAGCTCCTGGCCAGCTCCCTTCTCCTCTTGCCTTGGAGGGTCTCCCACCACCCTGCAGAACATCAACACCCACCAAATTCCCCTGCCTCTGCCCAAGGTCTCCACCCAGCCTAGGCGGGCAAAATTTCAAATTCCAAAATAAAAACCCTCTGATAACGAGTCCCAGCCGGAAAGACTGATGCACTTTCCTATTGTTAAAGTATTTTTAGTCGCAGGCTCTGGATTCGTTTAAAGACTCACGTTCAGAAAGGGGAAAAAAATTTTTTTTGAGAACTGGGAAGGAGAGCACAGGAGCCTCCCACGTAAGGAGCTGCTGCCTGTTCCAGGCCGGGCCAGAGCCCCTGGCCCAGGTCCCGGAGCGTGTTTGTGGCAAGCTGGTTGGCAGACTTGCCAGACCTCTCTCCAGCCCTGCTTCTCAGGCACCCAAAGCAACTGGGAGGCCCGGCAAAGGGGGCAGGCCAGGGGCTGAGGGCTCAGCAGGACGCCAAGCCCCTGGCCCAGCCACTTGGTCCCAACCAGCAGGGGCTCGGGGGCTCCGCTCAGAAGCCAATTCTGAGGTACCCTGATGGAAACCAAAAACTCGCTGCAGTGGCCAGTGCCTCGCCCAGGCGGGGTGGACAGGAGAGGAGGACAGAGGCCCTGTGGGGAAGCTCAAAGAAGGAACTGGACCGCATCACCTGTCTCTGTCCGCCTCTCCCGGTTTTCAGTCACAGTGTTCCCAAGTCCAACTACCGCTATCCAACTGGGGTCAAGCTGCACTCGCATGCGTCCGATGGCCAGCCACCCTTGCTTCCTCCCCCAAACCCGAGGCCAAAGGGTTTGGCACAACAGTCAAAATGGGAAAAAAGCCAAACAGCCCAGCTCCCATTCCTCAATGTCCCGGTTCCAAGACTCACCAGCTTCCTCCTCACGACCTGCTTTGACCCTGGATGAAGGTCCCAGACAACCGCATGAAGGGAGAATCCCAAGATTGGTTGGGGGCTCTTCCTGGAGGCCTCAGGGAGCCCTGCGGGGAGAGAGGTGCTGCCCAGCCAGCCTATCCTTGTGGCCAAGGCCGGGCAGCAGCTGAGCGGGCTCTGGATGTGGTGCTGCCTCCAAGCCAGCGTGTCCTCCTCTGTTTTTATAGCAGAAACCAGAGCCGGCCTCTGGGGATGGGGGGAGCCACTTTGGGCCCTCTTGGCTGGGCCTGACTTTGGCCCAGGTCAGCAAGAGCCCAAAATAGTCAGCTGATGGGAGCCCCGGTGTGAGCGTGACCCTGGGCCCATGCCCGGGCCTGGCACACAGGTGCCCACGTCACAAGACCAGCAGCTCTAGCACTCATGGGGCCCTGGTTGGCAGCCCCTCAGGGTGGCCTTGGCAGTGTATCTGGCATAGGAGTTCCACCCAATCACCACCATCACCCAGACAACAAGGTAAACACAGGGAATTCTGCCCACCAGGGCTGCTGTGTACCCAGAGGGAGGGCTGGGTGCTCAGGAAGCCGGGTCTGGACTGGGGGTGGATGTGGGGGCCGAGTTGAGGGAGGGACACCTGGCCACTGCTGTCATCTTCACTCACGTGCTTCCCAAGTCCAGATCTTCAACTGACCAGAGAACACCTGCCTCTCCCACTTACAGTAATTCCTCTCCCTGTCTTTGGCCCGAGGTTGGTGGTACGGCACCTGCCGCCATCGCCATCGGGAGGCCAGGCACACACCCGGCCCTGCCCCCACAACAGGAGGCCCTGCTTCCCAGGGTGTCCCCCTTCCCTCCAGGCTTCAAGCAGACACCCTGTCCTCTCCACCCCAGCCACCTCTCCAGGGCTCTCTGCACCCTGAATGCCCCATGAGGCAACTGTTTGGGAAGCTGAAGAAGATACTGAACCAGCTCCTGCTTCTTTTGGGATCTCTCAAGGTCTGGGAGGGCTGCTGCTCAGAGACGGCCCTCTTCCAGGGAAGGAGGAAGGGAATCTCATGGCCTCTGTCTGGGGTGCAAGGTGGAGCTCCAGCTTCCTCAGGAACAGAACCAGGACTCCAGTACCCTTAGCCCCATCTCATGTCCCCAGGAAAGGCCTGAGGGAAATCCCATTCCCACCCTCCACCTCTCACCCACATATCAGCATGGGCCTTCTCTGGAAGCACCCTCAGACAAAGAAGGTATGTCCTCTACCATCAGACCAGGTGCCTGTGCTTGCCAGCCATCCAGGAGGCATAGATTCTGAGCTTGGCTCTATACATCCTTACTGCAGGACCCTGGAAAAGTCATTTCTCCCCTCTGTGCCTCAGTCTCCTCTTCTCTAAGTGGAGGAGATGTGCTAGATCACCAGTAGTGGAAGGCCTGTCCCTGCCTTCCCATTCACAAAGGCCACCCCCCACACCACAGACTCCATAGGCCCCCAGGCCTAGCACAGTGAGGAGAGGCAGGCATCATGCTTTCTGCCGGGGGCGGGGGTCCCCGGCCTTCCCTTCATGCACTCACCTGGAGAAGTGTCTACACCACAGAGACAGGCCAGCTCCCTGCTGCCACGTCTGCCCCACGATGCTCCCAGCCCAGCCCCCAGCTACCCTACTCCACCCTGTCTGCTTCCTAGAACCAGGCAAAGCTGCCTTGGGAGCAGCTGTCATCCCCTACTCCCACCAGCCTGTGTCACCTGGGCCCAGAGCCCTCCAGCCTATCCTGCCAAGAAAGTAAGGCTTCCCTAGTCCCCACACCCACATTACCCCCACCTCTGAAGAAATCAGATCCCCCACACTGAACAGCAGCTTGCCTGCCACCTCTGCAGGGCTTCCCCTCCGTCCCCCTAACCACATCCGCTTTGGGCAGCTCCACCCCCACCTCTGCCCCCTAACCCCACCTGCTGGAGGGGGAGGGGGGCCCAGGGGCATACAAAGGACAATAGCAGAGCACTTACCACTCTGGATGGACCAACAGGCCTTGGCCAACACACATTATCCCTTCAGCCTGCAGGGCCCAGCAAGAGCCAGACTGCCTGGGAGGGGCAGGGCCTGGCCTCTGTCCATGGTGGAGGCCTACAGAGGGAGAGTGGATGTGAGTAGCAAGCACATTCCCTGGAGACAGCAATGGTCAGGACACACAGGAATGGGAGCAGTGACAGGACCCAGGCCACAGGAGGAGAACAAGCCAGCCCAAAGACCTCCCTGGGTTAGGCATCAGAGCCTGGGGCCCAAGCCCCAGGCAACCTGCTTCCAGGGGTATAGGGCATGGCCAGGAGCTGATGACAGTATTTCAGAGCCATACAGACACATCAGCACCTAGCCCCTCCGCCTCATACCCCTCCCGGCTCTCGGCCTTTGACGGTTCAAAAGGGCATGTTGCAGGCACAGGAAGAGAGCTATCATGAGGACAGAGTGGAATACCCCTCTATCCTTTAGGGGCTCCAGTTAGGGCCCTAAAGCCTCGGAGGTCCCTAAAAGGCAGGGGCTCCATGCCCCTGAATCAGGCAGCCCAGTCTTGTAATCAGAGCAATGGGGACTCTTAGAAATCTTCTGGGATGGGACTCCAGTCCCCAAATGGGAAGGCCCAACTTAAAGTAGAGCGGATGCAGGATCCCAGACTGTCTGGGTTCAAATCCTAGCTCCACTGCTTGTCACCCTGGGTGAATTATGTAATCTCTTTGTACCTCATGCTTCTCATCTGTAAAAATGATGACATCTCTAAAATTAACAATCACAGGGTTATCAGCAGGCTTAAAACAAGTTAACCTGTAAAAGATTTATAACAGTGCTGGATATGCACATCTGCAAGGTACCATTATCAGGAGAAGTTCCATGAGGACGCACACATAAGAGCTAGCCCCAGACCCTGGTTCCTAGTCCAAGGCAGCACTGGGCAGCTGACCTCTCCTTCCAGGGTGGAAACCAACTGTGTGCCTCACCCCACACCCCGGCCTCTCCCCCAACCCCACTGAGCCAAAGCCCCCCTCAGCCAGGGCCCCCGACCCACATCTCCCCTTCTCTTCTTCCACCCCCTCCAGAGCTCTTTCTTTTCAACCACACCCCAGAGTGAAGGCAAGAACATGTCTTCACTAGCTATTGGACTGCGCCTCAGACTGAGATGAGGTCTGAGAAAAGAGAAGGAGATGATGGGAGCTAGGAGGGGCAAAGAGGAGGAGGACCCCAGAGGGTGGGCAATGGGATTCCTCACCCTCCTGACCTCTGCCTGAGGTCCCCAGGCCATGGGGAGGTCCTCCGGCCCACAGTACCCAGGCTCTCCCCTTACAACATTGCCAGCACCCCTCCCTCCCAATTCTGTGGGGGAGCAGGAAAAGGCCACGGGAGAGAAGGAAGAAAGGGAGGGCAGGTTGAAACATCTAGAGCACCTCTAACCCCAAACAGAAAGCAAGACGAGGCTTCCAACCTGCCCTAGCCCATGGACTACACCTGCTTTCCAGGGTGACAGTGTCATCCTTCCATTCCCGGTAATGGGTCTGTAGTTTCCCCAGCCTTGTCTTTTCTCCCTACCAACCCACTGCTGAGGAGGAAGGGTAGGGAGGGCCAAATACCACCTACCACAGTCAGACCCAACCTGAGCGCCCAGGTCTTCCCCGTCCGGTTCTCAGAACAGGGGCCAGAGTCTGGCACCACATGGTGCCCACAAATGATTCATAACATCTTCAGACAGGTATCTGTTCCCCCGCTTGTCCCAGATCAAAATGCATCCCTCTATAGTCACACCACAAGCATTTACTGAGGACCCCCTGGGAGCCAGGCAATGTCCCCTGAACAATGGGAGAGCCAAGAATGCGCACAGCAAGATCTCAGAGCCCCAGGAGCTGACCGGGGATGAACCAAGGTAAAGTACAATCTGCACTGTGCAGAGGGCAAACCAAAGGCTGAGTGGGCTTGGAGGAGGCAAAAGTGGCTGGTTGCGGTGGCTCACGCTTTGGGAGGCGGAAGCAGGCACATCGCAAGGTCGGGAATTTGAGACCAGCTTGGCCAACACAGTGAAACCCTTTCTCAACTAAAAACACAAAAACCAGTGGGCATGGTGGCACGTGCCTGTAGTCCCAGCTACTTGGGAGGCTGAGGCAGAAGAATCGCTTGAACCCGGGATGCGGAGATTGTGGTAAGCCAAGATCCCACCACTGCACTCCAGCCTGGTTAACAGAGTGAGACTAGTCTCAAAAAAAAAAAAAAAAAAAAAAGGAGGACAAGTGACCCCCAAAATGGGGTGGAGCATCAGGCCAGACTTCGGTCCTTAGCTCCTGCCGCCTACCAACCTCATTTCCCAGCCATTCACTGTGTTCCAGTCACGTGGGCCTCTCTCCCCACTCAGGGTCTCTGCACTGTTCATTCCCTCTGCCCGGAACTGGCTCTTCCTTATCAATCAGGTTTCATTTCCCATGTCATCTCCCTAAAGAGCCTGCATTCTCACCCCACCACACTAGCCTGATTTTATTCACCATAGGTCTAGTGTTCACATCTGTTCACTGGTTTATCACCTGTTTACCCAACCAGAATCTAAGGATGTTGTCCCTCTCAATCACTGTGGAGTCTGCAGTCTCTAAACCCTGCTCAGCACTGGCAGGTGCTCAGAAGGGAAGAGCCTTCCAGCTCAGGAGCTGTCCCTTCCTTTTAGGGGCAGATCCAAGAGCCAGAGCGTTCTTCCTTATGTTGAATCACAACCCAGATTCTAAAATTCCCCAGCCCTGGATCCCAGCTCTGCCCCCTGTACTGGCCCATAGGAAGCCTCATTCTAGTCCTTCCTAACAATTATTTTAGCCATTTCTTAACTAAACTGCCTGTTGCAACAGGACATCGCTGACAGGCCCTCTGCCTGACAGGCCCTGGTGGCCTCCTGAGTACAAGCTCTGCATTGGCCAATGTCCCCACCCAGAAATGGGCTTATAACTATTATTAGCAATAACAACAGCAGCTAATATTTGTTAGACATGTGCCAGATACACTGTTAAGCACATCAGACGCATTGTTTCATTTCAGCCTCCCAATGCTATGAGGACAGGATTATTATTATGCACATTTTACCAGTGAGGAAACTAATGTTAAGCAACTTGTCCAAGGTCACACAGCTAGGAACTGGCAAAACTGGGATTTGAACCCAGGGAGCCCAACCAAGGAGTCCAGAATCAAGCATCCTTCCTCCCCCTTCCCACCGGCTTGGACCTGTGTAGTGGATGGAGGTTGCACACTGCACAGAGAGTCCCACAGCCTCTGTCCAGAGACCAGGTCAGAAGCTAAGGGCCTTTGAGCCAGGCACAGGGCCTGAACTCCTCAGATGATTTTCTCGAGTTCAGCACGGGCCTCAACAGGGATGTCAGTCACATTCACATTATTAATCTCGGCCCATCCTTCTGCCCCGGCGCCTTCAATTAGAATCTTGACTTTATCACACTGTGCACTTGTCACTCCTCACAGCTCTGGGTGACTACAAGGAGTTGGCTGACTTCCTGTTTAAGTCTTCATCCAAGTCACTGATAAGAACGTTCACTTGGAGTAGGTCTAGGGGCAAGCCTTGTAGCCCCACCACTAGGGCCCCAGGCCAGGCCGACAGCAGCCCCCAAATCCATCAGCACCCATTGGGCATAACTGTAGGGAACCTAACGACCTCTGCCCAGCCTGCGTTTTCCCAATGTGCCCCTAATTTAGCCCCACATCCAAATTAACAATTCACTGAAAACCACCTCTGCAGCATTTCTCGAGTCCACCAGGTCATCTATCAAAAATGAAGGCATAAAAAAGGAATGAGCAAAGTCAAGGAACTGCGCCCCCGGCCCTCGACACAGACCATCAGGGTAAGGAGGTCTGGAAATAGCCGCCCCCACCCCACCCAATGTAAGGAGGGAAGATGTTGCGGCAAACAACAACAACAACAACACGCCTGGGAGACACAAACCCCGAGTCCTAAGCCCCAGCTCCGCCTGACTCCACGAGACCCCCAGCCTTGGTTCCTCGACTCAGTCCCGCAAAGGGGCTGCATGGTGCAGCATGGGTCCCTCCCGGCTGGGTCTCCTGGCAGACGAGCTCCCGCGCTCCTGGAACCGGTTCCCGCAGCCGGCGGGGAAATGGAAGGAATTTCTCTGGCCTGGCCACCTCCAGCGCCCCTCGTGGGCCAAACCCCACCCTTGGCGGGCTGGGGAGAGAAAGCCTTGGCCGTCGCTCTTGGGGGCTGACTCGGAGCCAGCAGGTTCCGCTGGGAATCCAGTCCCTCTCCCCGACTCCCCTAGTTTCCAAGCGGGACTCCCCGCGTGGCCCCGAGCCCGCCCCAAGGCATACACCAAGGCCCAGAGACCGCCCGGCCTCTCCCGGGCCCACCTTCCGCCACCCCGACGGCCCCTCACCTGGCCCTGCGGGCTCCGCTCGCCTCTCCACCCCCGCTTTCCGGGGTCGCGCACCAGCTGACCCGAAGCTGCTCCGCGCCGCAGGGGCGCCCATGCCGGGAGGCCGGGGGTCCAGGGTGCCACGCTGGGACCCCGCCAGTTCCGCCGCCACCGCCGCCTCGCGCTCCAGCAGCCGCGCCGCAGCCGCTCGGCGCCCCCCGCCCCCGGGTAGCCCCCCGCCCGCAGTTCCGGCCGCGCCGCGCCCCCCGCCCCCGCGCCCGCGGCCGCCCGCGCGCTGCCCCGGCCCCTGCGCGCCTCCCCCGGCGGGCGGGGCGGGGACCGTGACGCGCGCCCATTGACGTCTCCGGAATCCCGGCGGCGGCGGCCGACGCAGCCTCATCAATGGGGCTAAAAATAGCGGCGCCCGGAATAGCCGCGAGCGCCCCGCCCCGCGGCTCCCCCCACGCGGCACACCCGGTTACATAACCCGCCTCCTGCGGCCGGAGCCGGGAAGCTGGTTCTCAGGTGAGGGAACCGAGGCCTCGCTTACACCTCCCGAGGCGGCACACCCGGGGCTAGGTTATAAATAAACTTTCCCGGGGCTTCCCCAGGAAGAAGTGGAAAGAGCGAGGCTCAGAGAGGCTCGGTGGCGGCCCACAGTCACACAGCAATTCGTCTGCTCGCGAAGACAGGGCCTGGCCTTTGAGTCTGCGGGCGCCTTGCCTGCATCGCTTGGCCTTCATGCCACCCCAAGGACAAGAAACCTAGGTAGCAGGGCACCCAGCTTCCACACGAGAAGGCAGCTTATAGAGAAAAAGGACTTCCTGGGAGGGTGAGATTCCTCCTGAAGAGGAGCGGGTGCAGGCCGCAGCAAAGCCCAGGTGCTGGATTCACTGATCTGGCTGCTCCCACACCACTGTGTGGCCTAGGGCAGTCGCTTGACCTCTCGGAGCCTCAGCTTCCTCAACTATAAAACGAAGATGTTATGGTCCGATTATGCACCCTTTCCGGTTGTCAGGACAATAACAGCTGCAGCGGTGCCTTGTACACAGTAGACCCTCAGAGCTGGTTCTCCTCCCTGCTCTCCCCAGTCCACTGGAGTGCTTAATGCACTCAGAGGCCCACCGCCGTGGCCAGGAAGCCCTGGGAGGCCCACCTTCGCCTGATCAGTGTCTCCAGGCCCAGGCTTCCACGGTAAGAATCTTCCTGGGGGTGCAGGCACTTGGAAAGTTCCTCTTTCCCATGTGACTGGAGCCCTCTTTGGAAACGGGAGAACCATGCTGTCCTGAGCAAATCCTTCTCCCCCAGCAGCTGCCCACTCAGGAGTGGCTGGTCAGGAAGGCCAGGCAGGCCAAGGTTGGAGCAATGGGGTTGGGGCTGGCTGGGTGGGGTTTGGGGTTACCATCGCTGCTCCTGTACCCCCATACAGACATGGCCATTGGGGAACACTCGTTAGGGAGGATCCAGTCATGTGCCCTGCTGTGCCAGCCACTAGCCCTGCTCCTTTTTGGAGCCACCTTAAATTATGAGCATGCTATACAATCCCCAGCACCAGGCCAGGCCCCACGCAGCAAAGAATCTCTTCTGTGCTCAAAATTCTCCAAAAG